CAGAATACACAGTGCCATATCCTCCTTTAGCGATATATTTGACATCTTGAAATTGTGTATACGGTATCCATTCTAATGCCTGGTTAAAATATTTAGCTTGAAGCTGAGACTTTTGAATAAATTCGTCAATTTTTTTATCTCTACTTGTCCATTTATCAAAATCTTGTCGAAAGTGAATCTTATTGCATGACATGCACCATTCATCTGATGAAATTTTTTGATTACATTCGGGACAATATTCAGAATACGATTTCATGTTTGACCTCTTTAAACCTTTAAACTTGAATTTTCCCACTACAGTACTATAAATACTTTTATGCATTTCAAACCGTTACACAGACACAAAATATGATTGTGCGTATAATGTATATTTTGGATTATTTTCTTTATTAACATTAAGTTATTTAATTATTTGTCCATGGATACTTTACTTTAACGAAAAATTTTATTTTATAGAATTGAAATATTGAATAAAAATTTGTTGTCCGAAGCAAAGCGTAGACTTTAAGGGAGATAACGAGCAAAAAAGTGGTTATTTCTGCACTATTTAATTTTTATATAAAAAAGAAAAATTTTTAAAAATAAATGAATAATATTATATACAGTATATACAGTATATATTAAATTTTAATGTTTTTAATAATATAGTTAATTTCCAATTACTGTATATATATTAATTCTGCATATCAATAAAAAAATTTTAAAAAAATTTTATTCAAACAATAAGTTTAAAAAACAAAAAATATACATAGTATATAAAATTATTTAATAATTTAAATTAAATTTTTAGACCCTAATGGTTCCCGTTTCTAGTTTGGTCAAATTTTTAATAAAAAAATAATACGTTCAGCATAAATCGCGCAAATCAAATGGTCGGATACATTTGGCAGTGAGTCTACAATCAAGGCGTGTTAATATTACTGACTTTATCATTTCGAAGTAGTGATCACCAGCTCGGAAGTATTTGTTGATAATTGAATCGGAATATTCGGCATGCAATCATGTCAAATATAACGTGAATTCTTGGTTGTAGTGCCCGATTTTCGGGGGCTTGTTAAGGAAGATATTCTTGGACCTGAGGAGTGAAATATTGTGAAAATGATAAATATAATGGCAAAAGCGGATAGAGATATTATTTTTAACCATTGCAAATTCTTCGCTTCAGAATAATGCAATAGATCCGAAATTACTTTTCAGGAAGGCTCTCTTATGAAAATTTGCTTTTCATATGTTTTTTACGACGGGAGTGATGATAATTTCAAATTGTTCAATAGATAGCAAAGAAAAAAGGCAATGGTTTAGCAAATAATATAACAAAGGGACTCACATTATATGGTTGGGATCCGCGTACTCTCACGTCATTTATGATCTCCCTAAAATAAACGGAAATAAAATTTTTCTTGGCGACAAATATATCTGCGTAGTAAATTAGATAGGCACAACGGAAAAGCCAAAGAGTCACCGCCTAAGTGGCAGCCGTGAAGCTCTTCGGAGAAGGAAAAACTCAGTTTGCTCACCGCCCAAGTGGCAGTCGTAATCTGGCTTGAACAAAGTTCACCTCCCAAAGTCTCGCCGCCCAAGTGGCAGTCGCGAAGCACTTTGTCATTTTTCACCTCAGACACCTGCCGCTCAAGTGGCAGTCGCAAAAGTAGCCTGTCAATTTACTTGAGGTATTAAGTGAAAAAATTAGGGCGTAACCGTTAATTTATGGACTGTACAGTATTTTGATTTGTCATAATCACGTGATCAGAGATCGCGTATTATTTATTTATTTTTTGTTCACGCCTGACCTGACAAAACTACAGAGTATGTTATTGACGTCTGATCGTACTGTGTTGGTACAGAGAATGTTCATTCGTACTTTAGTACTGTGCAGGGCCTTAGAATATTGCATTAATTGATATGTGAGAACACTGAGCCTCTTATTTGGGCCACATGCGTAGAACAATTTCTTGAGTCTCTATGTATTATAAATAAAATTAAAACGGCACCTCTTAGCGTTCGAACATATGCAAAATGTCTTGCGGAACCATACATGTAAATATCAAAATCTTTTACCTCTATTTGCTTGTAGAATGTTTATAAATTTATGAATTAGGAAACTGAAAGTCAAGATACGATTGAAGCAATTGCAATGAAGTATATGGCATTAACAAAAGAATGATAGGGTGAAAACCTTAGCAAGGTTATTGATTGTTAACATATATAGGTACGATATAAATGGAAAACTTACGCGTATAGCTTGCAATCAAAAATAGAACTTGTTACATGCGCAAACAAACAAAAAGGCTTATGACGGTGCCACAGATGTTAGTATCAAAAGGCAAACAACACAAAAAAAGTTTTACGTGAGCAGAAAAAGAGAGGAACAGACAATGTGGACGACGAACTATCAAAGGCAATAATAGATGAATCGAGTTTCTTATTCGATGAATCACATGAGGATGGTATAATCTAATCTATTGATGAATCCAGTTTGGGAAAGGAAGTGACATTTGTTATGGCCAAGGTTATAAATTTTCGGCGTGCTATTTCGATGATCTTTGATAAACTTGAAGTAAGACAACTTTTGGAAAAACGCGTCGAATTATAACGTGAGTTTTTCATTTTAATTTTAATATGAAATTACTTATTTATAAAATCTGTTTGCTATCTAGTAGGTTAGGTTACTGATTTGACCCTGCACGGAGTTTTCTCAGAGCGAAATTGACGTAATCACATAAGATTTTGCAGATCACGTTCAATGCAACTCCTAAATAGCTTCAAGAGTATTTTAGATCTAATTGCGATCCATCTAATATTGAGAGAATCGAAGATTATTCAACGTTTGAAAATCTCCACATGAATATTATATTTGTGTAAGAATTGCATATTAGTTATTTTAACAAATTCTTTTGATCTTATCTAATAAGAGACTTTTTTCTTCTACCAGAATATGCCATATGTTTTCCACCAAGGGAGCTAAGACAGAAGAATCACTCAAATTTACAACAATTTGCCCTTTGTTTAATGCAGTTGTGGACTCATGATTGGTCAATGATATATGGTAGGCTACGTTACTATTCACTTATTATGCAGCAGAATATATAAAGTAATATTAACTTTTCGCATATAAGAAGGAAGTTCAAGCGCTTAGCTATAAAGAGACAAGAGATGAAAATGAGTCTTTTTGTAAAGGCTCGCATGGAGAGAAAGGTTGATATGAAAGGAGTCTTGAATAGGACCTCAAATAAATTTGAGGCGTTATATAGAGAAGTTGCAGGCAGACTTTCCTCGATTGAAATCTCACTTGCTTCACGAAAAAAAATATTTTTTGATAAGATGAAACTCGCTGTGTTGATAAAAGATTCACCCAATCGTGTTCTTAAAGAATGGAGATATTTATGTGATGAACAGAGAAAAGAGCTCATTGTATATGGATGGACACTTGCAGGTAACAGGATTTCTATTTTTTTATATTTTTCACTGTATAACCAATGTGATTTAACAATACAGGTTTAGACATATCTTTGTATGCCATGGATTGGGCTGGAGATGGCATATGCCGTTTCGGGAGAATTGATTGTTTTTCATAGAGAAAGCTGTATTTTATTTGAAAGCGTCTTTTGCCTTCTAAAAGAGTTGGAGGTATGTAATTTGATATTTATGAATCCTCAGCTTATCCTGTTTTACAGTATATAGAGGAAGCTATCTAAAACAGAAAAATCGTTCAAAAGTTATATTCTGAAAACATTCGCGGAAAATGTCGGAAAACAAATACTCAAAATAGTCTAGTTCTTAATCTTAAAAAGAACTCCTAAGTGACTTGTAAATCTATTACATATTGACAACCAATATGTAACGATGCATAATCTTTAAATAAATTTAATAGATTTTCATGTATAACACTACCCAAAAATTCTTAATACTTCTTTCTCTTACTTTAACTCTAATTATATTTCCTTTGTATCATTTTTGAGCTATACATTACCGAATGTATCACAGTATGAAAGAAGCTTTGATGAAGTCATTGAATTTTCGATGAGACATTGTGCAAATATGGTATGAATGAAATATATGTTTTTCGGTTTTGATCGTGCATTTACAAAAAAAAAAAAAAATTCAAGTTTGCAAACGAATAATATTCATTTTTAGGTAGCTTTCTGAAGAACTTTATTAGCATTGGAGAACGCAAATAGCGTTATTAACTGTTGATTTATTTTCAACTTTGCATATCTCAAATAGATAACTGTTGACCATTTTATTCTATCTATGATATTAATAATTAATGGTTTACAAGCATTAATATAAAAATATTAATTATATTATTGGATTTATGTTATATAACAATATACTGTATATACAGTATGGGACACTTGCTTTTGGAAAATTTAAATTAATTATGATTTAATAAAAAATTTTAATTTAAAAATTATTATTATTATTGAGAAGACAAGACAGTTATCATACCTTCGTGGCTTTAATTATGCATGTGACATGGACTCCCAAGGAAAATCCCCATGTAATCATGATAAAATGATACCTTATTCTTACTCTGCTTGTTACATGACATTCAATCTTATATATTTATGGATTGAATTCTAATATTTATTTATACAGCAATTAAGATGATAAGTTTTTTTGCCACAATATTTATCACTACTTCCATATATATGTGTGTGTATGGTTTTATTATATAAAGGATAAAATACTGATTTACTAAATAAAGGTAATTATTTTTAAAGTTATATTTTAAAGTTAAATAAGAAAATCACTCTAATATCATTTTAATAATGTGGTTTTGTCTTTATTCTAAGTATTGAAATAAAACAGAAATTGGAAATTGTTATTTAAATAATATAAATCTAACATTTATTTACAATATAAATAAAGTTTATTTTGGGATTTTTTTTATTAATAAAGTTTTAGACTTTATTGTAAATTTAATTAAGTTTTATTTGTAAAAAAACTTGATAAATCAATTAATTTAATATATCAGTTTAAATATTTAAAATTAAAACTTTATTTACATTATTATTTTATATAATCACAAATTAAAATTAGATATAAAACATGTTATATTTTTATTATATATAGAAACAAAGCTAAAATTAAACCAATTGCTTATAATTATTAAAAAAATAAATATAACATTGCAAAACATTGACCCTTTGGATTTTCACTAATTTATAAATAGTTAAAACTCAAAAATTCATCAAAACAATTATATATTAATTGTATTTGAATAATTTTATTATTTATACTATTATTTAAATTTTAAATTCTTTGTATTTAACAAAATAAGATTCAAATTTATATTTACCTTAATATTTTTCTTTTTCTCTTAACTTTATATATTAGATATATGAGATATAATAAACTTTGATATTTTCCAATTTTTTATTAAGAAATTTTTTATATAGATCAGAATATTATTACAATATCTTATTATTAACTCTTTTTTATTTTTGAACCAAAAGTCACTTATTTTTTTATTCTTTGATGTTTTGTATTTATCAGAACAAGTGTTTGTCATGGAATGGTCCATTTCTTATTTGAGTCAGGAAATATGTGACCTTTTTATCTTTTGATAATTTAGGTTTTGTATAGGTTGATTGATATGTGTTAGAATTGAATGTGTTACCATGTGTATTTTTTGATCTTTTAGATGAGTCCTTTTGAGATATCTGTTTGGAAGTGTTATTTGGATTTATTTTGAGAGAAACATTAGTGTTAAATGAAAATTGTTTGATTTCCTTTATATTGTCATTTAATTTGGCAATAAGGCTTGTCTTTTCTTTATCTCTCTGTTCTAGATTTGCGAATCTCACTTCATATTTTTTAAAGCTTGCTTCAACTTCACATTATTAGCTTTAACCTCCATAAGCTCAGTAATCTCGAATACAAGCTTGGAATTCTGTTCTTCCAATAAATCAATTTTAAACTATGTACGTATTGTCATTTTTTTATACAAGATACGGGTATGTTCAAAAATTTTGATCAATAAAAATAATGTCTATCAAAATCGTGAAGATTTCTTCACGATTAGAAAATTTTGATTTCGGAATAATTATTAAAGGCAGTCAGTTAACCAACCGTGATATAGTCTGTGATCGCAGTGTGATTCATATAAATATATAGGAAAATCACTATTTTGATCAACCGTGATGGGCCGTGATCTCAAAAATCTTTATTTAAGCAATAATACGAAAATCTATTATTTTAATACAGGCCGTGGAGAAATATTTATATAGCTACGAGATAATAATATAGACACTTCGTATCCTCATTCCATAAGACTATTATCAGCGAAGTATGCATTGTGGGACTCGTTGTTAAAAGGTAAAATCGGTGAAAATTTTATTAAATGTAAATTATGCAGTTATATCGAAATAAGACTAGATTAAATTCCGATATAAGAGAAGTCGTACGCGTTAATTAGGGATTTAAAATAGCCCACCGAACAGAAAAAAGATCGAGGGTAATAGGATTTGGTAGAGGAGGCGTGGGAATTACGAAGTTGTTTGGCATTCCATGGTAAATGCATCCCAGCTGAATATTAATAACACATTGCCCAGGTAGAATATTGATTGGATTTCCTTGACGGTTAATCGTTCCAAATTCATACTAAGTAGGAAACCTATTAAATTCATTCTGTACTAAAAAATCATGTAATAATATAACATACCATTACGGGGTTTAATGCTCCGATAGCTGTTCGATTATTTATGCAATAATGCCATGCCTATTAAAGAATAAAAATTATTCAAATGGTACCAAGGCAACTGCGCAGAAAATAAATCTTCTTGTCATTACTTACTGTCATCACCGATGGAACCGTATCATCCGGTGTGTAGTTTAGCTTAATAGCAATTGCATCGTGAACTCTATTAGGAAAGAGCCAGTAATTCTCTATTTTATCCTTAAGATGTGCCTCTGTTTCAGAGAAAGCAATCTCTATTACAAGATTGGGCCAGGGTTTATTCTAAAAGTATATTCGACATGTCACAAACATTAGAAATTTATTACATCTTCAAATTAACGGTTAAAAACTCTTCGTACCCTTCCATCAGATCCATCTCCAAGAACTTGAGGTTTTCCTATAGGTCGAAGAGACCCATCTGCCTCCTTGCCTTCTCCACGTGTTTTTGTTGCTTTTAGTCGGACAGTGAGTAATACAAACATACTTAGAATATAGTATCATAAATAAAACCAATAAGACACTCACTTGTCGCTCCACAAAATTTAATGCCAGAAGGAGTAGTCCTCACGGCTTGAAGAGCTACACCCAATTCCGTTATAATTGTACCAATGCAAACCTCGTGAAATGAAGAAGGAAATTCGATAACCCGAACAGTTCCATTTTCCCATTCCCATAGAGCGTGCACATTATGCCTATCTGTTTGTTTAATATATTCGTCTAATGTGACACCAGTCTTTAGCACATATGGTAAGCTTGAAAATAAAATTAATTGATATAAGATACTATTTTATAATAATATCCATTCGTCAAAGCAAATAGGAATGAGACTTACGTAGCTTCCTCCCACCTGGCCTTCGGATGTATGTTGCCAGTTTTCCACCAAAAATAACGATATCTTTTTATTTCATCAGTCTCCTCAATACTAGAAATAGAAGAAAAAGAAGTGGTGACAGTCTCCTGGGTCATACTTCTCCTATATGGGCGTCAATACTACTTATAAAAAAGTGCCAAACTTTGAGACTCACGGTCGAGTTACATCATCATCCCATTTTACCCCGGAATTAGTATTCTTCCTAACCAGTAATGCTACATATTTGATATTAACCGAACCTAAATTTGAAATCGATGGTGCAGCAAGCATAGCGGGCTTTCTCTATGATTGGTCAGAAAAATTTTACAATATCATTGGTCGAATTTTATTAACAATAACACAGTAATTTTATATATTGGTTAAAGTATTTAGAGCTTTTAAAAAAAGCGAGTCTATACTATTATCATCTAACAAAAAATCTTCATTGTCAGTATTGTTCTCATCAATTTCTATAGAAAACTTATTGGTGTTCTCATCTATAGACACCTTATTGAATAAACTAACAGTTTATTGAAACTTTCTACAATTGTTTTCAATTTCGCTCACAAGATATGCAATGCAGTACTGACATTTACTTTCTAACTGAAACAAAAAACAATCATAGTGATAAGCATGTCCACAAGTTAGAATACAACCTACCTCACAAGAATTAGTACATTCTTCCAAATCACAGTATCTATCCATTTGTGGCAAGCGTATTGTATTCCAGGTATTGGCAATATTTTAATATCAGCTTGAGTTCCAAGTGTTGGAAGTTTACAAACTTTGGATTTTGAATGTACATTAGATGAAATTACTTTCTCTCTACTAAGATTGTGATAAACACTTGTAAAGAGATTTAATAAAAAGAATGCAGTACGTTTTTCAAGATATTCAAGCTGTTTTGCTAAATATCTAATATTATAGTTCTCAGAAAAAACATCTGCAAAAGAATTGTTTCCACATATCTGATCAATTATTTGTACCTGTCGAATAATTTGTTCTGCTGTATTCGATTTTTGTATTCTTCGACAAAGTAAGCT